AAATAACCCCATTCCAATGGTTCGTCTGTTCAATTTGCATATTTCTAAGCCATATAAGCCTTTGTCTTTGTGTCTACTGAATAAAGCCTGGAACTCAACACTATTTCTGCCATTTTTAATTGAAAAAGCTTCCTGGATGGAAGAGAAACGTCTTCAAAACTTGGGGAAAAAAGTGTCTAGTGGATTTTTTTTTTATTATAATTTTTAAACTGCTTGAAAAGATGCAACTACTGATCCATGGCGTTGTGAGGATGAATGGATTAGGAAGGTATTGGTATTGAGCCCAATGTGGTCATACCGGTAATTACTGATGACCTGTAGGCTGATGAATTATCACAATGAACACTGAACATCTCGCTCCTCAGCAGAGACACAGGAGCTGGTCCACACCGATCTGCAGATGGATCAGACTACAAACAGTGGCAGAAAGAAACAACGACCTGGAGGCTGGGACAGAGGGTGACCTTCAGCTGGAGGTCGGCCCTAAACCAGTTTCACTGACCCTAACCCATATGTACAGTGTCTGCTAAAGTATTCAAACCCCTTCCTGTGCCTCCAAGAATTAAAATGTTGACTGATGGAGAGTTTGCTCTGTTTTATTTATGTCTGCAGCTTTGGAAATGTGCATAACTGTTCAATCTCCTACAGTCAGTGTTCCTCTAGCAGTAGCTCCACCTGCTGCTTTGGATCCGCCACATCTGGCCACTGGGTGACCCGTCCAGCCCTCCAGTAGAAACGGAATAGTTCTTGCTGGTAAACAGCGATATTTATGTCTAACCACATTCTAGAGCAGTGTTTCTGCATCCTGGTCCTCGAGTACCAATGTCCTGCAGGTGTAGGTGTCTCCTTGGTGTAACACACCTGACTTATATGAAGCGATGAATAACGGGCTTCTTCAGCACCTGACGGCTGCTGAGGAGCTCATGCAGTCATATGAAGCAGGTGTGGTTCAAACAGAGAGATCTGAAACATGCAAGGCAGTGGAACCTGAGGAGCAGGACAGAACCTCTGGACTAGGCCATTCCAACACAGGGAAAGGTTTCCCCCGCTTCACTGGATGTTGCATAAGTCGTGTTCATTGGATAAAGAACATCAGCGCTGCTGGATCTCATCTACACCAAATGGACAGAAACCAAAACCTTTGCTGCTAAATTTTCAACATCTCTGAACATTTCAAGCAGAAAGCTCTTGGGAGCATTGAGATAAGTGAGCAGCATCTTTGCATATTTCATCCCACTTGATGGGATCTGAGAATTGTGTAGCAGGTGGTGTGTTGAACATGAACACGTTTAGGCTGTGAGGCGGCTGCAGGTCAGCTCACTAACATCACTCTGCTCAGCGCTGCGTCCAGTCAGGCATTAGCAGCAGCAGAACAGGGTCATCACTGGTCCAGACCTGTCAGCTAGGATTACCGTCAGCCTCGCTGCCCCGCCCCTTTGCTAGACGCTCTCCTGAGAAGCCTCTTCCTGAAGAGACTCCCAAAGAGAGGCAAAGGTTGAAGAGGTCGAGTGCTGCAAGGCTGGGTGGAGGCTAACGCTAAAGCTTCAGCTGCTCCTGATCAGTCAGAAACCAGCTGAGAAATTTAGCTTTAACCAAAAAAAACAAAAAAACAACTGTTGATATCATTGTTTCATACTTTGGATAAAGGTCCCATATTTTATCACATAAAACCTTCACTGTGTTTGTAATACCACCCTTAGATTACGCTTAATAGAGAAGATGCAGCCTGTGATGGAAAAGCAGTTCAAGCAGAGATGGAAACTGGAAGGGATCATTTCACAGACAGACAGCCTTCTATGAAATCTTTGCATCTTTTCCAATATTATTATATTTCTAGTTATTACAATACATCACAGCACAAAATGTGAAGAAAAGTGTCCAAGGCTGATAAAGAGCAGACTAATGAAGGGATGAGTAGGTGAACAGAGCTAAAATATATTAAAAATAAAACTGCTCTTCGATTAATTTAGAATTTCAACACAGCAACAAGTCGAAAAACTTGAATTTTTTTATAAACATAAATGCATTTTTCTAATCTAATATCTCTTATTTGAATTTTGTTGTTTTCCTCCATGTCAAATCAAAGTCTTAATGTTCGCAGGTTAATTTATCCCTGAGGACATCTTGGCTCTACCTTTTTTTTTTTTACCTCATCCAAAATACTTACGTCATCCTAAACTATGTTCATTATTTGTGCTGCTATAGGCTTAGACTGCTGGAGGACATAGGGACCCCTTTTTCATCATTCTGCTTCATTCTATCTCTATTCTCCCACTCTGCAGAATCTGTTAGTTCAATCTCTAACGTTCTGCTCTCTCTGCTTTTTCTCATAGTAGCTTCATCTGGTCTGTTCCTGTTTGGCTGTGACTCCATCCTGGAGAGAAATATCAGCTGTGCTGCTGCCATCAACACCTTTGTTTCTAGATGCTGGAGATCGGCCTGTTTGGTCCTGTTTCTCTCCTAGACGTAGATCTGGGCTCAGCTTTTACTGGGACTAACTGGATGTTTTCTCTTTCATCCTCTGACATCAGAGCTCATCCGATTAACTGTTTATTTCCCAGACAGAGCCACATCTGGAGCTAGTTTATTGTTAGCTTTCTATCATAGTTCTGGTTCTGCTGGAGGATTCTTCCTGTTAAGAGGGAGTTTTCCTCTCCACTGTCGCTCCAAGCATGCTTGGTGTGAGAGATTGCTGAAGAGTCAATAGCTGCATTAAACCACCCTCTGAAACCAATCCGTGCCGAGTTCTGGACAGAGCTCGGATCTGCTAAGCGCGCTGTGCTCGGTTCCTTACGACCGTTTACGCATCATGCTAGCACGGTTCCTCGCCTCCTAGTGATGATCTACGGTACTACCTCTCTCTAGTAGGAAACCTTTGTGATTATGTTTTGTTCCGTCCAACATCGCCTGGATAGTGTCCTCCACCCAAATTCCAATAAGAGCCTCAGTCTCTGCATCATCCCAGGTCGCACCACTCTCTTTTGAAGCCAATTTAAAAAAATTTAGTTTTGAGAAGATTTCAATTGTTGTTTACAGGTCTACTTCTTCTGTTTTGTGGCGGCTGGCGAGCAACTTACTGATGTGCATTACCGCAAACTAACGGAGGCTGACTGTAAGGAGATAACTGCTCATGCACTCTTTGTTACCTGAGAACCGAGCCAGAACTGAACCGCGGCGAGCCCTACTGATGAACTAGTTCCATGTTAGCGCCGTTCGGTTGCGTCTGCCGTGGTCTGTTTCAGTTGGTCATGCATTTACACTAAGCAGCTGTCTCGGTTACCGTGCTCAGCCCGATGTCGGCACGGTTTCAATAAGGTAGCGTAAAGTGAATATCTACGGTCTCTACCTGCTCATCCAGGAGCAGAGAATCCTATAAAGTCTATTTGGTTTTGCTTAGATAGAAAACATCCTGTGAGTTGCAGCTAAAAAAATAAATTGGATTTAATTTATTCAATTTTAACGTCATGATCCAGAGGTTTTGGAGACACCAACAAAATGTTTATTTATTGTCAAAACAGATGGATATTTGTTTTTTGTTATAATTTGGATAGTTTCTAGAAGCAGCAGAGACCTAAAGTGGAAGTACATAAACATGTGAAAAGTAAATTATACATAGAAGGGGGGTCGGACCAAACCGGTTTGCACCGGTTATTCTCTGTATGTGCAACATTCATAGATCACCCACATCATGCCCACTAATTTCCTACATTATTCAGCGCTAATTATTTGGATTCTTTGCCCTTAGCCACATTATATCTGCTAATTCTTTCTGCATTAAATCCTGATCGCTGATGACAGATTCTCCCACCTGAGCAAGAGACCTCTGCAGCTGCTCCAGAGTTACCACCTGTTTCTCTCTTCTTGGTAAGGTTGCGGTTGAACCACGGGCCGGACCGGGCTCTACATGTCTGTGCTAATCTGTCGTCTGCTCAGAGTCGCATCGTACCGCTTCCAGAGCTGCTGGAGATGACGAGCAGAATCGCTGTCATCCATTCTGTAGTTTATATAATTAGCAGTGATAGGAATATCCTGCTCCCTCTTTGAAAGGCTCTGCTTTACTGCACACCTCATGCTCAGGCCGTCATCTGGCCCCTGCTTGGCCTCCACCTTGTTCTTTGCTCATTACTCGCCCTTATCACTGCCCAGGCACTCAACTCAATGTGACAGCCGGCTCCACCACTGATCTGAGAGGTTATGAACCTAATGAGCCCGCCCATTGATGGGATGGCTTCAGACAAGCTATCCCAGAGTTCCCCTGGGGAGAGCTGCCACAGTCACACTCTTCACTTCCTCATGCATTCTCCTCTTCATTGCTCCACTCTTTGTCCCTTAGCACTCGCTCACTCTCTCATTCCATCAGAGCTCAGCTCATCATCCCCCCATCCGTTGGCTGCTATCAGTCTGCCAGTATTTAACCGTACAGTAAAACCTCGGCCTGCAGACCGGCATTCTGACATCCTAACCTGCAGATTCTGAATCCTAAAACAGGCAGACAGAGAAATGTTGGCTTGATCTGCTGCTTTTAGACATTCTAGATAGACAGGTTTTTGCAGGAAGCCTAAACTCGGTCACCATGTCTTCATATAGAAAATCCTGCTGGTTCCTGCTGGTTTTCTTTGTGATGCAGGTTGTTTCTCTTCAGGATGGACTTTTTTACTGGAGCTGCTTCAGATGGCTTTATGATGCTGGAGCAGGGACGTAAATTATCAAACCAATCTGGTGTGTGTGTGTGTGTGTGGGGGGGGGGTTAATGATCAGCAGATGTATTTCAGATAAACGGCAGCACAGCTACTCATTCCTGTCATTCCTGATGGTTCAGTGTTTTCTCCACCTCTGATTGCTCCGTCCACTAACCTGCCGCATTCTTCTGCTTCTTTCTGTCTTTATCATAACGTGTCAGAGAAAAAAAAAACCATAGTCTGTCGGCCATCTTTCATGGTTTCTAATTGTTTTCTATCTGCTAACTTAAGTTGAACCCTCAGTGATTTTAGCTGTTCATCCTCCTAGAGGGTTTGTTTTACTTCCAACTCCCATGTTTTCCTT